ATATCTCTTTGCAAGTGCTTTCATTTCTTTCGCAATTTGGTGGCATTGTCTTTCATTGTGAATTGCACTTGGGAAATGACCAGGATCGTAACATTTATCATTAAATAAGTTTTATTGATTAAATAATTCGTAATTCTAATTCTTATTACGAATTGTTGAATTGTTTATGGGAATTTATATTTCTGTTTTGATTAGGAGTCTACAGTCCATCAGTGGGACAGGGGACTGTACGTGCATTGTATGATTGTTCTACCCTTGTTTCCACTCTCTCTACCCTCCCCGTATTCTGTGACCACCGGGACCTCTCAAGTACCGCACCAGTTCACATTGATGTCGATGGAACAGGACACCGGGGCACTGCCACGGCGCAGTGCCAGGCTCGCAGTTCGTGCCCGCCCTGTGGTACCTCCAAGACCCAAGAGACTCAGCAAGCGGAAGACTCCAGCAGCATCAAGTACAACATTGACGGTACCAGACACCACCGGAGTTCTTCCCGCATGCCCGGTCCGAGGGGCCAGTGAGCCGTTGGCTGACTATCTCGGGCGGCTACAGGTATTTACAGATGTCGTAGCTGCCGCCAATGCTCAGCAGGAGGCAGCAGAGGCAGAACGTCAGCAGTTGGCCAATGAGGCGGCAGCCCAAGCTCAGCAGACGGCTGAGGCCGACGCAGCGGCACGAGACCAATGGAATGCCGCCAGCACGCAATCCCTGATTCGTAATGAGAATCAGTGGACAACAATCCTCGAAGGCATGATCTTTGTGCCTTCGGAAGAGCAGGCACATCCAGCACCGGCGGAGGCGGAGAGGACTCACCTGGCTAACGTGATGTTGACGATGATGCGAGCGATCATGTGGAACAATACGATGTTAGAGGTGCAAATACACGAGGGCAGACAGCTGCGACAGATTCGGCAGAAGGATTCTGCAGCCTTATCAGTTGCTGTTCGCACTACCGCCACACATCAGCAACAACAGCAACAACTGTTGAACACCACCACCGCACGCGTCAGCAGCATCGAGGCTAAGACCTCAGCAGCGCCAGGCTGCACGACAGACGAGACGAAGCAGCTCAATGGGCGCATCGATCGCGTCGTCAATCTCATCGGCGGTGTTTCCAATGAGCCGGACACGATCAGCAGCACGGTGACCGCCATCAAGATAAACATCACCAAGCTGCAGACGAGACCGGACGCCACTACGAAGAACTACAAGATGCCGCACTTCAACATCAGCAAGTTCGACGACCACAACAAGACGGACGCTTTGGCATGGTGGCAACGTTTCCTCACGGAAGCATCATGCCGCACTGTCCCGGACGACTATCTGATGAAGGCGTTATACTTACAGCTGATTGGAGGAGCGCAGGCATGGATGAACCATCTGGCGGCTACCCACACATGCACCATCGCCGAACTTCACACGCACATTACGTGGAAGGATTTCGAGAAGCTATGGTTCACCCGTTTCATGGTCCGCAACATCGTGAAGGCGGCCATGAACGAAGTGTATACCTGCTCTCAAGGGAATACGCCAACTCGAGACTGGACAACCAAGTGGCAGAAGATAGTGACCACGCCAGGCTTCGATTTGAGTTTCACCAATCAACGATCCGAGTTCTTCTCGCGATCGTGCGCAGGACTACGATCGGCACTCGGCAACGAGTACGAGTACGATTCATTCCAGGCCATTCTGGATCGCGCAAACTTGGTCATCCAAACGGATGACAAGGCCACAAACGAACAGCAGTCCCAGCCACATTATGTGGCTAAGCATGGCTATCAACGTCCGACACATAACAATGTCGTGATTTCGGAAGAAACAAACGATCTCCACGTTGCAGCAGCATCCTCGAGTGATGGAGGAATTGTAGCAGCGCTCCCGCCGAAGCGTCCCAAGAGAGTTCGAAAGAACAAGGCGACACAAGAGACGACATCGACGGGGACTGGGCCGCAACCATGGACGACTTACAAGATAACCACGGATGTCTACGACCTCCGTCAAAAGTGCGGATACTGCCTTTGGTGCAACGACATCATGCATTTGACCGCACAATGCCCCGAAAAGGGCACGGCACGTGTATCCCGTCCAGCAAACTCGGGAAACTCAGTTACGCAAGGAGAGGGGCGACGTCTCTCCTCACTCCGCCGGAACCGGTTGCCTTGCTAGCAATCGATGTCACTACCGGGGAGCATGCGTTAGTCACTGATTCTCGTGCCACGTACGAGGATTATGCCGCCCAGCTGGTACCACCACTAGACCAGCCAACCCCCGTGCACTTAGATTGCGTATGAGCAACCTGTACACCGTCGGCAAGTGATCCGGTCAATTCGCCACTGATTTTCGAGGACTCGATGGCGTGGTCAAGACTTGAGGAGCTTGACCCGCTCACGAGAGAGGACTTCGCTTGGATGCCTCTACCCTCGACCGGAACCTTGCCAAGGCCGCATTGCAACGCGTTGATGGCAACTCTACGCTCGTATTTGCATGCTACAGTACCAGCTCCGTTGACAGACGACGGAGTAACGGTTGTCGATCTCCGCTCCTATCTTGTGAAGATTGACCGCGAGTACGCCACCCAAAGGTACGCCGAAACCGACGCACCTTTGCTCTATATCCGCATTCAAATCGGAAAGGCAACCTGTAGTGCCTTGATTGATTGCGGAGCGTCTCGCAACTTTATGAGCCAAGCCTTTATGGCCCGCGCAGGTCTTGGCCCGCGCGTTCGAAGGAAGACGCAACCTACGCAAGTTACACTCGCGGACGGCCGCACGCAAAAGTCAATTGACCGATGCGTTGACGGCGTTCCRGTCTACTTTGYGCCACTTGCGTGCGAGYCGGTGTCTTTTGACATCCTCGACACCAAGTTCAACATGATTCTAGGCATGTCTTGGTTGCGTAGCGCCGATCATCCGGTGAACTTCCATGACCGAACCGTTCACATCCGATCGGAACGGAGTGTTAGTCCCATGTACGGTCGCGACCCCTCACACTTCGACTGCTTGTCACGTGGTTTCCGTTGCGAGAATTCGCAACGCCATTGCTCGGAATGACGTCGAGGAGATGGGCCTTGTATTCTTGCATGCTCTCCCCTCGCCGGACGGACCAGCCGCGTCACCGCCGGACCCACGCATCTCTCACCTCTTGGACGAGTATGGAGACGTCTTCGAGGCGCCCACCGGAACGGTTCCAGATCCGCCCATACGTCACGGGATCACTCTCGAGGCGGGTGCCGTCCCTCCGCGTGGATGTATCTACCGCATGAGCGAAGAGGAACTCGAGGTGCTTCGCGCACAACTCGATGACCTTTTCGACAAGGGCTGGATTCGCCATAGTTGCTCGCCATACGGAGCACCTGTTATCTTCGTCCGGAAGAAGAACAAAGATCTACGGTTATGCATCAACTATCGCAAACTTAACGCACAAGAACGCCGGCCCTCTCCCTCGGATTGATGATCTCCTTGAGCGGTTAGGCGGCGCGACGTACTTCTCGAAGTTGGACTTGAAGTCAGGTTACCACCAGATTGAAATCCAGCCTCAAGATCGGTACAAGACCGCATTCAAGACGCGGTACGGGCATTTTGAGTGGGTTGTCATGCCCTTTGGCCTCACCAATGCCCCCGCAACTTTTCAAGCAGCTATGACGACTGAGTTTCGCGACTTGCTCGATCGCAGCGTCCTCATCTACCTCGATGACATCTTGGTCTATAGCAGGACGTTGGACGAACACATCACACACCTTCGCGCTGTTTTGAATCGTTTGCGACTGGCCAAGTACAAAGCGAACCACGACAAGTGCGAGTTCGCCAAGCAAGAGCTTGAGTATTTGGGCCACTACCTTATGCCAGAAGGCATTCGTCCCTTACCGAACAAGATCCAAGCCATCGTGGATTGGCCGGAACCCCGTTGCACGATGGACGTACACTCTTTCATGGGATTGGCTGGATATTATCAGCGATTCGTCGAGTCATACTCGAAAGTGGCAGCTCCTTTGTCGAGACTTCAGTCCCCGAAGGTGCCCTTCGAGTTCTCGACGACGCAGCCCATGGCGCGTTCATTACATTGAAGGCAGCGATGCAAGCCGCACCTGCCCTCCGTATATACGACCCCACCCTACCCACCCAAGTGACTACGGACGCTTCGGGATACGTGATTGGTGCGGTGTTGGAACAGTGTCATGAGGACGGTTGGCATCCGGTCGAGTATTTCTCCCAAAAGGTGCCTCTCGTAAACACTCTTGACGACGCTAGGAAGAAAGAGCTACTCGCGTTCGTCACCATTCTCAAAGGGTGGCGCCACTTTCTTCTCGGTCGTCGGCGTTTAAATGGAATACGGACAACAATCCGTTGACCTTTTACAAAACGCAGGATACGGTCACTAGTGCAATCGATCGATGGATGTATTACATTGACCAGTTCGACTTTGACCCGTGCCACATTCCCGGTCCCGCCAATCGAGCTGCGGACGCCCTCTCACGACGGCCCGACTTTTGTGCCATTGTGACCACGGCATTCGACCTCGATGACGATCTGCAACCGCATTTCGTCAAAGGCTACAAGTCCGATCCGACTTACTCTACGCTTTACGCGGAGCTTTCATCGGACCACCCGCCGGCTAGCCACTATCGGATTGCAGACGGGTTCCTTCTCCTTCACACGAGAGGAAAGGACTTGTTAGTTGTGCCCCAAGATCGCATCTTACRGACTCGTCTTCTCGGCGAATTCCACGACGCACGACTTTCGGCACACCTTGGCGTGAACCGCACACTAGCACGCCTCCGCCAGCGTTTTCACTGGCCCGACGTCCTTCATGACRTCACGMGGTACATTGAGTCATGTGCAGTTTGCCACCGWAACAAGGGTCGATCTCGAGTCCCCTTCGGYGARCTGAAACCGTTGCCGATCCCTCGGGCACCACGCCTCTCCATTGCTATGGACGTGACAGGCCCGTTTCCCCGCGATTGCCACGGCCATGACGGTATTCTCACGGTCGTTGACCGTTTGAGCAAGTATGCTCGCTTCCTTCCTTGCAAGTATCATGCTGCAGCACCCGAGCTCGCACGACTCTTGCACACCGGTTGGATTACCAACCAGGGTGTTCCGGAAGACATAGTGAGCGACCGAGACACTCGCTTCATGTCAGCCTTTTGGACTTCCCTCATGGCTGAGTCTGGTACGACAATGAAGCCGAGCTCGGCTCGGCACCCGCAGACGGATGGCCAGACGGAGCGAGCGCACCAGACCGCTCACATGATGTTGCGTACGCTCATCCGTCCCGACCAGAAAGATTGGGTTGACCGGCTTCCCGACATCGAGTTCGCCTATAACACTTCGGTGCACCCGGCGATCTGCATCACACCTTTCGAGCTACAACATGGTGGAGAGAAAGCACGGATCTTCGCTGATCTCCTTTTGCCACAGGCTGCCGACATAGACGTCCCTTGCTCTCCCGCTTCCGTTCGGAAGTACCCGGACTTGCTAATCAAAGCCCGCACAAATATGCAAAAGGCTCAGATCCGCATGCAGCAGCAGGCTAACCGACGTCGACTTCCATGTCCTTTCCGCGAGGTGGACCTTGTTTGGGTCCTCTCCAAGGAATTTGCGCTCGAGCAGGACGTTTCGCGCAAACTCCTTCCGAAATGGTTCGGACCATGGGAAGTCACTTCTGCCGTTGGAGACGACCCCGCAGGTCCTTCCTTCGTGATCAACATTCCACCGCACCTTACAGTGCATCAGGTCTTCCATGCATCGAAGCTGGCCATCTACACGCCACCTTCAGTTGACGAGTTTCCCGGACGTCGATCACATGATCCGCCTTCTATGGACGGACATCAGGAAGTGGACYRAGTCATCAYGCACCGCAAGTATGGCWACAAGCCAATGCAGTACAAAGTCACATTCAAGCAATGTGCGCCTGACGACACTCGGTGGATCTCTAGTGCAGACTTGCAGACTTCTGCACCCCTCATCTTCGCCAACTATGAGAAGGCACGACTTGCCAAGGCAGCAGCTCGTCCCACCCGACCCATCCCGGTATCGGACAGACAACTCCTACCTCGCAGGTAGCTCGGTCTTTTAAGAGGGGGAGTGTGTTACATCTTCGACGCCACACGGGTCCTACCCGACCCGACATAGGGGTAGAGGAACAGAGTAGGGCCAAAGGCCCGACCTTGGGGGGTACTACAGGCCGTAAAGGCCTCACCTTGGACCAGACGTGACGGGCAGGCCCAAACGACATTACCATTTGGGCCTGGCGGCGCTCTTGAGGCTGTCGCCCGCCAGTTGGGGCTGAACCGTCCATCTGGACGGTTCAGGGCACGGCCAGGCCTCGCAGCATTGAGGCCGGCCTCTGCCCCACCGGTATAAAGAACCGGTCCAGCCTCAGTTGAAGGGATCGACCTACCGGCACTCTACCGGTACGGTATGGTATAGCGCACATTAGTGTTGGCGCTATCTTTAGCGCAGGAGCAGCGAGAAGCAGCGCAACGCAGCATTAGCGCAGCAGCGACGAGCAGAGCAGCAGCAGGGCGACTGAGCCAGACCGGCGGCCATCGCCGCCTGAGGTATCAGGGAGTCAGAGGTTCTCTCCTCTCTCTCTCTCTCTCTCTCTCTCTCTCTCTCTCCTCCTCGGCTCCCCCTTCTTCTTCTTCTTCTTCTTGTTCTTCTCCTCAGACTCCATCTTCTTCTTCTTCCTCTTCTTCTTCTTCTTCAGATTGGAGACTTACACTAGTTGGACAGAGATCAGCGTTGGACTTCGGTGGTATGAGATTGTGGTACTTACCGGACTGGAGACTTGGAGATTGTTGGGGTTGATACTTGGCGGCATCACAGTTCGGACACCGGTTACATTTGGACTCTGTATCTCCGACATTGGTGACTGATTGTCCTCGACATTTTGATCTTGTTGGATGACATTTTGGACTACCATATCGGTGACCTATCGGATTCTATTTCGGTGACCTACCGGTGCTGTCTACCTCCCCCACCTCCTTCGTCTCTCCTCCCACCTTTCATCTGTGTATGAGTGTACGGGATCTGGGCATCGTCCATGCTTGGCCCAGACCCCACCATCTCACGATTGTATGTGTGTGGAGTGATTCTTGAATCAGTCTATGTGAGTCAGTCTATGTGAGTCAGTCCGTTTATCAGACTTCCGCTGCATACATGCTCATCCTACATTGGTTGATCTTTGGTTATGTCCATACTCATCGAAGTATGTAACACCTAGCAAGGATATGCAGTGAATTATACACCCGTGACCCGTTCTACCTAGACTTGACTCAACCCATCGTGCAAGAAAAACAGTCATCGCACAGGCACGAAGGGAATGATGAACGCCTAATGCGTCTTGACTACCTGTAGAGGAGGCACTGACCGTATGATCAAATGTCCATGGCCAAGCATAAAGATAGACGGACTGACTGACACGTCCATGTCTCCGGAGGTACACGACCTAAGGTCTCTCAGGCTTCTAGGCTAACATTCATCTCTTTTTGACTCTGGACTGCGGCATGTTAAGGTGCATTCACACGAGGACTCTCTTGAATGTATATGACCCATAATTGTGCCCGCATGCAGTCAAGACAGTCCTAAGCTCCTTCAGTATGAACCTAGCCATGGCCTAACAAAATATGCCATACGCATGGAAAAAGCACATGTGCCCATTGAGCCACAACTGCTTCCTCTGCGCTTGGAGGATCATGGCTCTATACAAGGAGGCTGCATATGACTTCACTAAAATGGCTGACAGTTAGGATTACAGGGCAGGCCCGGCGCTGAATGCTTAGGAGCCCCTTGCTCTGATGAATGGCACCGTATACAAACAGGCCATAGCTTGGACCGGTTGCGGCCTGGTGGTCCCAGCGGCAAATACAGCAGCGCGGACTTCAGATTCCCAGATCTCTCCATCGTCTCGGTTGGAATCTATCGAGGTCGAAAGCCTCCACAAGGTTCAGAACTTAAGGGAGAGTCAAGAGAAGTGGTTTCAACAAAATAGGGTCCGCCACACTGGTGGTTCGCTTAATGAGGATTGGATCGCTTGTAAAGATCCAAGTTCAAATCCAGCACCGAACCATCCTTCTGAAGTGTGAGTCAAGACTCTGGTCGGTTGGAACAGGTCTGTCGGGCCCCAGAGTTCGTCAAAATGGCCCTCAGTGCGGGACAACATGGTTCAGTCCTTGTCTCAGCTAGACACCTTCGGATACAGCCTCGGGAAAACCCCTACAAAATAAGAGAATGGGTTAGAGCCAGAATCGCAAAAAGAGCCTGTGGCTTTTCCCCCCACCAAAAAAAAAAAAAAAAAAAAAAAAAAGCATGGGTCATAACTTCAGACGGGGAGCGGTTGTACCTAATATGTGGTCGCCGGGCTAAGTACCAATGGGGGGGTTATGTGTAGATGAGCGATGTATGCGAGAATTGTCGTCCATGAGGTGTGTGGAGTGTGGAGTTGGACACTACAGCCTTGCAGGGTGGGGTGGACATCACAACCGGTATGGTTCCACTTTTGAACGCCGTGTCCTGGCTGTAGTGGTTAAGATACTGGTCTCGAGGCCGAGGTCGCCGGTTCTAATCAGTGCTTGCACGGAGGAGGGCTTAGGCCTAGTGGTGCGGATCCATGAACTGCTACTCTGGCCAGAGCGAAGTTCTAGGGTCAAAGGTCAGCCCCGAGGCCTTGAAATAGTCCTGAGAAAGCCCTTCAGTCTGCAGGTCTGGCATGAAGGGTCAAATCGAGGCGTCCAGTGGATCTAGAAGCCAAAGTAGGCCCCAGGAAAATCAAACAGTCAGGCCCTGTCAGGGGACAGAAGTCAACAAGTCAAAGATTTCCCAGGTGTCTACCATGGCCAAAGATCACACACAATCCAAAGTCTCAGCAAAGTTTCCGAAAACTTCCAGGCCTCATCGGGTGAAGGCAGACAATGGCCGCAACAAATTCTTGGCTATACAGGTCGAAAAATCCCAGCCGCCCGAGGAGAAAACCTCAGGCAGGACAAACTGAGTCAACACTACAAAGACTGGGCATGCCCAGCTCGCACATTCATTCTGCCTTGCACTTGTTGGAGTGTCGCTGGCAGCCACTGTGCTAGCACTGGGGAGAGAAGACGGCAGGCAGAGAGAGTGTGAGGCTCCCATGGCTAGACTGAGAGAGAGAGAGAGAGAGAGAGAGAGACGTAGCCAGTAGAAGGTGTTGGTGAACCGTAGATGAGAGTGAGGGAAGGGCAGTAATATGAAGGCGGCAGGCAGAGAGAGCATTAGGCTGCCATAGCTAGGAGTGTGTATGTGAGTTTCAAATTTTCACCACAGCGACCCCTATTCCACCCAGATGAGTCGATCCAAAATCAGAGAAGCTTTAGTCTTGTTAAACCACCACTACCCCCACCGGCCTAAAATGGACTTTCCTGGCCTTACGAACCGGGTTCTTAGGGGGGGTGGCGACCGGCAGGCACAGGCGGGTCCGGTCAAAAAATTTCCAAGCGCGAACTTCGGCCATTTTTCGCGCTCAGAAAAATTGGCAAAAAAATCTGAAAATTTGATATCCAAGAAAAATAATAAAATATCAAAAAAATGAAAAAAAAAAAATTAGACGGTAAGTAAATGTCGTGCCGTTTCGTCACATTTTCCATTTCTGCTACTCTACCATGTATGGGCCAACGGGAAATGTAACCCAACTTTCGTGATTTTTTGCGATCAGAAGAATAACCCAACAACTCTGAAAATTGGAGGGTCCGTAGATTTTCTCATGATCTTTATAGGAAAAATATTTAAAAAAATAAAAAAAAATCATTTGAACCACGAAATAAATTGCGGGGGTAATTCGACTTTTGCCACTCCGCCAGTTCCCCCCACTGTGCTACCGGTAGCCCTCATGGACCTGTGCTACCAGTTCCCCCTAATTTATGACGGCAGGGGTAGTAGTGGCTTAAGACGATCCAACAATAAAACAGTTTTACCTCTATATCAAGCAACACGAACCATAATAGAAGCGTTGAAATCCCTTTCTTAACTGAGTCCACTTTGGCTCCTTTTTTTGTGTGTGTGTCGTCATATCCACTGTACACAGCTCCACAAAGAAAACCATGACTCTGTGTGTGTGTGTGTGAGACAAAGAGAGAGATAGCCATAGCCAGTAGGAGGTATGATGAACCATAGATGAGAGTGAGAGGCTTTAGGGAAGAGGAAGCTTACATGGACAGTGCTCAGCCATAGCTTCTCTGGAGAAGGAGCCCAATGGTTGCATGTGCTCATTCCTCTACATACAGGGAAGGTTCTATCAACTTCTATGGTCATTTCCCCCCCACCCCCCTACTTCTTGGCATGCTTCCATAGCATAGATTGAAAGGAGGTGGTAACCATTCAAGAAGGGTTGGCCAAAAAGAAGAGGAAGTGCTGGTGTCCATAGCTACCCGAACACGAGGACTCCGAAAGGAGGAGAGAGACGGGCATTCATCTTCCCAAACTTCATTTTGTTGGCACGTGCGCTGTAGAGAGAGAGTGTGGCACTGGTGTTGGTAAAATCAACGGATGCGAAGGAATGTCACCATAGCTTCAGGGTGGCGATGCAGTGTCATGATTGAAGAAGGAGGCTCCTCGCTGCTTCAAAGGACGGTCGTTGCCATTTCAAGTTCCAGCGGTATTGCCCCAGCCTTGCATAGGCCAGCGCTACGGTCTTGACCCGAATACAACATTGGGTCATTATAGCTTTATGTATTTGGGGTATCTTTCAGTCTAAGTACAGCAATAATGAATGTACATTGTATTCACGTGAAGACGGTAAAGAGCCATTGGCTTGGAGAGTGACATTGTGTCCGGTTTTGCAATGAAGCATCGGGAGGAAGCACACCAGAAGAAAGAGGAAGGAGCCTAAATCGATGGACTCAAAAGAGCACATCGCATACTTGAGCACTATGAATCCGTTGGCGCTCAGTTGAGTGAGACTAACTAAGCAGTTGTTGGCTTCTTCGACATCTACCGACTCCATACCCTTTGGAAATCAATTAAATTATGCCTGAGAGAAAGGTCTGCCCAGAGCGAGCAGACAAGTAATTTGGCTAATTTGAGAGTATATTCATAACGTATTTGGTGAGGAAGAGCTCTACCTTGACAAATCACTTTATATTGCATGCGTTTTAATTCATATTTAGCTAC